TAAGCCTGATTTCTTTTTCTCTTTAGGGGAAGCTGCCTACGCGGATCACGGTTCCACTCTCTGTTATTAGCCAGCCTATGAAGGGCAAAAGTGTGGTCACGGCCCCCATCATCAAAGGCAACCTTGGTGCCAAGTAAGTGCCGGAGTGATGGGCGGGCAGGGCTTCCACGTGGCTCCTTGCCACACACTGGAAGGGCAGCTAGTTTTTCTGGGGCTCTTCTTGGATATTTCTCCTTTGTTGTGTTCATCCACAGTTTTGAGCACCTAGTATTGTTTCTGGGTGCTGGGGACACAGAGCAGTGATGAAAACAGACACAAATCCGTGCTGTCTTCAAGCTTACATTGTAGGGGGAGGAGAGAAATAATAGAGTGAAATACCATGTGGGGTGGTGATATGTACTATGGAGAAAAAAGGAAGGAAGGGGACAGGAAGTGCTGGGAGGGGGTGGGCTGGTGCCGTGGCTCAGATGGCAGTGTCCAGTGCGGGTATTAGGGGAGGCCTCATCACTTTGACGTTGAGCCCTGTGCTGTGGTAGTTCAGAGGAGGAGGGCTTACTTGGGAGCCCGGGCTTTGTGTGGTGGTCCTGCCCTAAACGGGGATAAGGGGCATGATGACATCAGTCAGATGGTCTCAAGGCAGCTGTTTTGGGGAAGAGTTTCTTTTCTGGAATGCCCACTTCCATGGAGTCCTGTCCATTATTCCTGCTGATCGGGGTATGGTGTCAGAGCCGTTGTGTCCAGAGCACTGAGGGCCTTGGGGCTTTATGGGAAGCCTAGAAGCTAGGAGAAAGGTGGTCTCACCAGCTGGTTTCCATTTCAGTCCAGAATGCAGGAACTTTCGCTGGGCTGCAGAGCTCCCTGTTTTCCTTAAGCACACGGCCCGCCTGTTACGGCGCCTCACTCCTGCTTTCCCTCCACAGCCTCGGTGGCTTGGGCCGCAATATCATTCTCACCACCATGCCAGCGGGTACTAAGCTCATTGCTGGCAACAAGCCTGTGAGTTTCCTCACTGCCCAGCAGTTGCAGCAGCTTCAGCAACAAGGTCAGGCCACACAGGTAAGGGCCAAGGCGAACAGCTGGCCGTATCGGGCTTGTCTCCCCTTTGCTGTTCGTTCGAGACTGCAGAGTTCGTTTGCCACCTCCTGACCAGACCCTCTCTCTTTGCACACAGGTGCGCATCCAGACCGTGCCTGCATCCCATCTTCAGCAGGGGACAGCTTCGGGTTCCTCCAAAGCAGTCTCCACTGTCGTCGTGACCACAGCTCCATCTCCTAAACAGGCACCTGAGCAGCAGTGATTCGGGGCGAGAGAAGTGGCGTCCGTGCACGCGCGCACCTGGTCTGCCCTCCTGGCCGAGAAGAAGGGACCAGAGAGGGGGCATCGTTCTTCTCAGCTTGTCTGGTTAGGGAAGGCCGGCAGTGGGATGGTGGCATCAGTGGCCTGGAATCTCCTTCCACACTCCACGGCGGAGCACACCGAGAAAAGTCCCCTCCAGGCTTCCAGGGGCTGTTCTGTTCAGACCCGGGAGAAGCTCCTCTCTCAGGGTTGGGTGAGGTCATCGCTGGGCCCCACGAGCCCCAGTTCTCTTCTGGAGAGCCAGACACCGGGGGAGGGCTCACAGCCGCAGAGCGTGCACACCGGCAGGAAGCCTCGTTCTCTGTGGGGGTTGGGTTTTTTAGCTTCTGCTCTTCTCTGTGACTAGTGGTCTAGATAGGAGTTTTTGTGTCCAGAAATTTTTATGTAACTTATTTTTTTAAGGAACCTGTTGTACATCTTTATCCAATAGAAACCTGGGCTTTAGCCCTCTCCCCCCCCACCCCGCCCCCCAAACTGATTACTTATTCTTCTGACCAGAATGAGAGAGTAGCAGGATTCTTAGTAAGTTGGTGGCTGACTTGATCACTGCATAGTAATGGGGAGGCTGTAAGGTGGGCAGGGAACCCTAGGGAACGAGAGAGTACGGGTTCCCCGAAATGGGATGAGTTTGGCACCGCCTCATAAAGATGAGGTATTGGCATCTTGATTGTGGTCCATATCTTCACCTGCTGACTTTGTCGTCCTTGTCAAGCCTGTTTACACCAAAGTCCAGAGCCAGTGGACAGAGTAGGCAAGCACCAGCAGAGATGCTGCTTTTGCAGTTCAGAACTTACTGCGGTTCAGAGATTATATGTTCTGCTTTGCTCCAGAGCAAGAGTCTGCAAACCACAGCCCTGGGGCTGGCTACCAGTTTTTGTAAATAAAGTCTTCTTGGAACACAGCCCCTGGCCATTTGTCTATGTATTATCTATGGCTGCTTTCAATTTGAAGGCAGACCTGAGTCATTGCCATAGAGTCCATATGGCCCTTAGGCCTAAAATATTTACGTCCTTAGGCCCTTTAGGTAAAACTTTGCTGACTTCTGCTCCAGAGTAGAGAGGGCAAGAAGAGAGTGGGTGTGCGCACCAGGCGGCTCGGTCACAGGAGAGGTCAGTCGGGATTTACCTGTCCTTTCATCCTGGCTGTGTCCCCCTTCTGAGCCTCTACCAAGCTCTAGGCAGAGCTCTGAACGATACTGGAAAATGTCATAAGTGAGTAAAGCCCTGGTTGTTAACAACATAGGCCTCTTTTGTACGGGAGCAGGGGTTGGATGGTGGAGCTTTCCTGCAGGGTCAGAGCTTCCCTGTTTCTCTTGAGAGTGTCCAGATTATTAAAAATGTGTCTTTAATCTGTGGAAATTCAGAGATGATCTTTTATTTTTTTTTCTGGCGAGGAAGTGGAGTTGGGCAGAAAATTTCTGTCGCCTAGTGTAGAGGGGGTTGCCAGGTGGCTGCTGAGTGATGAGACAGGCTGCAGAGGAGCAGGGAAGGTCAGAGTGGCTGGTGGCTTTCTAGACATCGCATTTGATTCTTGAAGCAGTTCTGTAAAATAGACCGCATTATCCCTCTTCTGACTTCTCATCCCTGTGACAGATTGCAGGTCTGAGTTGGGGTTAAAGAGAAGCAAGATGTAAATCCAGTCTTCTGATCCTTTCTGCTGCCTTCCTAGGGGAGGGTGGCTGTGATGTGTCATGCCAAGAGGTGGGGACAGTTGGAATTGGGGGGGGTAAGCCCAGGTTACAGAGCGCCGAGGTGAACTGGCTGAGGGGTGACTGAGCTTTTGCTGGTGGTAGGGGGCTGGCACAGAAGTCAGACGGGGAAGGGGGAGAGGTAGGAACTGCCATGAAGGAGAAGAATGGCCTTTTAGCTGAGTAGAGGAGAGGGCATCTGTCCTTTCCAGTACTTTGATATTTGCACGTCATTGCTTCCTAGAGTCACATTTCACATGAAGAGTCCGAGTGACAGTTTCTAAATGAGAAAACGATAGACATTTGAGGGATCCCGTCTCAGGTATTTATTGCTGGTTAAAACAAACCCTTCTCGAAGTTACTTAACAAGTGATTGCATGAAAGTAGTTCCGACATTCAGCCCTGCCCCACTCTTTTATTTACTGAAGTCACCTGGCTGTGTCTGTCTCCTTAGTGCCTGGAGACATTTACCTGCCCGCTCAGAGAACAGGGATATTTCAGGATGCTAGTGTGGGACTGGCTCCCTGCTGAGTACGATTTGGTACCGCCCAGCCTGTCGGTGGAGTGCTGAGGAAGGGCAGCCGCTGCTGGAGTTGTTCAAGGGATGTCAGCAACATTTGCTTCAGACATGGTCCTCGGATACAGACCTCAAGGGTCTTGTAGAGATGTGGGAGCTGTGGCAGATGTTTTGGGGGAACATGCCCAGAAGAACTTGGTGGGAGCCCTTGAGCCTCTGCACCTAAGGTTCAGAGGTTGGTAAAATTATTCAGACCGTGTGCCTGAGACTGGATTTGGTGACTAGCACTGTGATGGGTTTGTACATTAATACCACATCTAAGAAGGTTTTCCTCCAGGACTGATCAGTTCCACGAAGGTATCCCAAACTGTGCTACGAAAGGGGCATCACAATAAGTTTCAGTGTTGCCTGTCTGATCTTCACACCTCAACCCCTCACTCTGCAGAAAATACATTTCCTTGCCGTGTGCTGCACTACCCCACCCTGTCCACCCGCAGCAATCTTTACGACGAAAGGAACATTGTGAATAGGTTCCTTACCCCCCACCTCCAGTCTCTTCGGGGAAAGAACGTATTTTATGTTAATTGCTCATGGTGGGTCCTCCAGTACTTAACTGAATGGACGTTTGGGTTCCTACTTAGCAGGCAAACGAAATTGGATCCTGAAAGGGCCCCACAGGTTCTCTTCTCATAATTAAATCCCATTTTCAAGTAGCTAATTCTTAACCCCTGAGGTGTGACTTCAGCACTGAAATGCTAGCTAACTGTGGGAGGTCAGTTCTCACGTAAGTACAGCATTTCTGCCGAAGAGCACATGGTGCTGAGTGTCGAAGATCTCTGCCGTATCTGTGTGAAGTAGCTGCGGGGGGGGGGGGGGGGCTCTATTGAGAAGTAAGCTGGCTTTGGAGTCCTGAAGGCTGGCTTTGCGACTTCGTAGCTCTGTGACCTTTGGCTCATCAACTTCTCTGCAGAACTGAATGTGCTTCCATTATTGGTGGTGGTGTGACTCACATGGGACACAGTGCCTGTCAGTGTGTGTGAGGTGCTGTACACACGAATGGTATGTTGGTCTGGAAGACCTTTCCAGTTTGTCCTAGCCCACTTCTGTCAGTTTGTGGAACTTAACTAACTCTCCGTGTTCCTTCATGATTTCATGGTCTCTGTGCTTCCTGTTCTCTCTGCCCGGAACGTGTTTCTCCAGGGCAGACTCCCCATCTCCTCCCCTCCCTCGCATTCATGGTAGTTGTACTTACCCCTTATGGCACCAGTGACCCTGTAGGTAACTGCATCTCTCTCCCGTTAGACTGTGAATTCCTGGCTGGACAGGTATCTCAGTAATCCTTCCAACCATTTCAGTGCCGGTGCAATGTAAATGTTTAATAAATATTTGTTGAAGGAAGTTTAAAAAAAAAAACAAAAAACATCCCCAGAACCAAGATTACAGTGTCAAGACTTTAGATTACTATTTCAAGATCCCTTTGCAGGATTCTTACACTTTGCTTTCGGCTATATTTAAATTCAAGGTCTTCAATAACCTGCCATTTTTCTCTCTACCTCATTATACAGACTTCCTGTTAGCATCTTCCCTTGAGGGTACTTTTGAGGACCCAGAACATCAGTGTTCCAGCTCTTAGCTGGGCCACTAACTAGCTTCCTGGTTTAAAAAAAAAAGTCACCTTTGACCTAATGTCATCACTTATGAGTAGTATTGCAGTACTCTGTAATATTAATGGTTAATTAGGAAATGTTTAACAAGTAATATTTAAAGTACCAAAGCTTGTAAATTGTTTTACTTAAAAATGTGCTAGAATTGTATCTTTAAAATAAAGGAAGTCTCACTTAATTTCTCATAAGAAACAACCTGTTTTCTTCAGAAAAAAATGGATAAGTTATCAAAAGCAGTATTTTCTGCTGGGTTCATATCCTGGATTCATCCATGAGGCCCTATCCTGTCCTGAAACTTTCAGAGTCTTTGAATGATTTCTCTTCATACTGGGACACAAAGGCTTCATTTTTCTTCATGAAGGATACCATAGCAACAGAGACTTTAGTCAGTTAAGTGAGAAGGTGCAAATATATAGAACCTTAAGAGCAGACTGGCGCAAGCATTGAAATGGAGATGAGTTTCCCCTTTGCACACTCTAGCTGTTCATACTCAAAGGGGCATGTTCACCCCACATTGATGACGGGTGGTCTCCCTCATTCCTCATCTGAGCCACTCAAGAGGGCCGTCTGGTAAGTGTGATCTGACTTCAGCTTCTGAATGCCAATGATTTCTCCTCCATGCCTCTTTAACCGAGTCAAATGGCTGTAATAGAGCAACAATAAGAGCGCATGAAATTAGCCCCCAAATGCCCTTATTCTCTCAACCAAGGATGTTAAGGCATGCACTGGTTCTTAAAGCATTTTCTTTATATGTCTATCAAACATATAAAGAAACCACAACATGGTTGTCCGCATATCTTGCTTCTTGGACACTATTCATTGATAGATGATTAATAATATTTAATGGTTAATGTTGTAACAGACTAAACATAAGTCTTCTGTCTCCCAGCTTATTGTTTCACTGACCAGGCAGTAGAACTAAAGGAAACTGTGACCTTAAGTTCCCTTCTGTTTGGTCTGCATGGAACTTGTGTGTGTGTGTGAAGTAGATCTGCTTTGGGGAGGGAAATCAGAAACTAGGAAAACGAGGGGCAGCTACAACAGAACTAATTATTAGCATATCCAAAAAGAAACTCGCACTGCAGTTCAAGGCCAGGTATGCTGTTGACTCATAGGGTGACCTCGATCAAGTTACTCAGTCTTTGAAGCCTTGGTTTCCCTTCCCGAGCTGTAAAATGTGACAGCACATACTTCATAAAATAATGAGGATTCAGTGGGGTAATAGACATGAGGTTCTTAACCGCAGGGCCTGGGACAGTGAGTGTCTGGGAATGGTCAGCTATTCTAGTAACCGCTGACCAAGCACTTGCTGTTTCAGCATCGTGTCTGACTGCCACGTCTCTGGGAAGGAGGTGGGGCAAATCCAGGAATAAGGTGATGGGCTCAAAACGATGGACAGCGGGGTCTGTAGTGCAGCACTGATGCCTAACTCAGAGTTTCTCCTTTCACAGTGCAGGCTTCAAGTCCATCAGAACTGCCTTCGAAACCTGGGTCTTTCAGGTGACAGTGACCAGACAGTCCTTGAACTTCTCAGAATCTCATCCCCCTGATTTGCAGAACTGGGCGTATAGTTGGCACTCAAAAAGTGGTAGAAGTTAGCACTCTTTAGTTATGAAAGGTGGGTCACTGGAAGTAAAAATGTAGTAGATTTTGGGGACCGAGGGGTTGTTAGGAAAAACCAGACAGAAGTTGTCTTCCCTTGGACATACCAGAAAACGAGCGAGTAGCTGATGGCCACAATGCAGAGGGCAGCCAAGTAGTGCCAGCAGAAGCACATGGTGACGAACATGAGGTTTGCGTCATCTTTCTGGTCCCATTCGGGTCCTCCAAAAGGTGGGAACAGCACAAACCCGATCTGGTGGGTTATACAGAGAAGCCAGCCTTAGTTGGTCCTGAGCAGCAAGCTCGCCTCTCCCCGCGACTGCCCCTGCTGTCTGTACATCCCCCACTGCCTCCTCCTGTCATACCTCTGGGAGCACAGAAAGGCCTTTTGCATAGGAGAATGGCTCTAATTCTGGCTTTAGTATGGGCTTAAAACCACATTTCAGGGGCCTATAAACAAACGGTATCCATGCCTCCACTAGGGAGGGCACGTGGGCTCACTGTGTATGCTGCATGGGATCCACCTGTCAGTTCGTCAGCAAGGTACTACTGGACGAAATGACCTAAGTCAGGGGCCAGGCACGGGAAGACCAGTGGCCCTCCACAGCCCTTCCTGTGGTGTATGTCAGTGCTGGCCCTGCAGGACCTGCCTTGCACGAGCTCCATGGGGCTCCTTGAATCCACACAAGGTGAAGAGCACCCTTTTGAATAATTACCTGCCAGAACCAGGTGCCCTGAAGGATAACGAGACTGGTTCGGAAGAGTTGCAGCACAATATTGTCCCGGAGGACCACCTCTACGAAGATGCTGAAAGCCCCTCCGAACACAGCGCACAGCAGGAGCGAGTGGATGTGCTGGTCCAAGGGTGGTCGGTTGTGGACGTGGTAGTAGAAGAGAAAACCTGCACAAAGCAATTTTGGCCATCACGGGTTCGCTGCCTTCTGCTTCAGAGGCTTCATCTGCACTGTTAACCATTCCTAGAATGCCCTCCTACGCCTGTCTCAAAGCTAGATTTTTCAGCAGTTAGGAAGTCAGTTTATATAACGTTACAGGGCAACAGACCCAGATTAGATTTCGTGTATGTATGAAGTGGATATATGCTGCAAAGGATGGATCTTTTAAAATCTCTTTACTCAATACAGGATGCGTAGGTGAAACACGCGGATTTGTGACAAATTTGTGTGTGTACTTGAAATTCAGTTTTGCCCTCATTTAACTCCCCCCCCCACCCCCAACTCTTCCTGAGGTACAGAAGTAAGTGAGGTTGTTGGATTACAAAATGCTTTTTCCTTACCCCGGTTAATAAGAGTTATATTGGGAAATCTGTCCTAGCTGCTTGGGTGGGTCTCCTGAGGTTTGTCATGGAGTCCAGACAGGAACATTCCAGGGTGGGAGGTGGAGTGCAGTTTCTCTTCCCTGAGCAGAGGGAGTTATCCTTGTATGTGGTGGCCTCCAGCCAGGTTTTGGAGAGTTACTGTGTGTTTCAGCGTGGAAGTGCACACATGCTGTCATACAAATGAGCGTGATGGGGGAGGGGGCAGAGAGTTTGGGCACCAAGATCCCGAGACTTTGGCTGAAAACCTTATGTTTTCATGGGCTCTTTTATGGACTATGTCCCCTGGAACCTCCAGAGCACCAGGACCAAGTCCTATTCAGGTGTCTGAAATTCAGGGATTTGGATTTTCTGGGTAAAGTTACTGTACTGGCAGTATTTCTGGTCTCCCTATCCTGATGCATCATAAACACAATTTGTCAGTCTCTTGCATTGTTTCTTCCATCTGTACCACTAAGTTACCTTCAGTGAATGCTGCCACAGCCATAACCAGTCTGTCCAGCCCCAGGGGAACGTGGCTGACGAGATAGGTGAGCATATCGGTGATTCCCGAGACTGCGAAGAACAAATACATGGTACTGTGCTGCCAGTTCATTAACTTGCACCACTCATTCTCATGGTACAGGTGGAGGTGGGGCCCGTCCGGAACAAACTGCTCGGCCAGGATCCCTGCAGGGGTGAGAGTGGAACTTGAAGTCAGGAAGGAAGTTGAAACATGGGTGAAAATGGCCTCCAGGTCAGTGCACCTGCTTTGCTCCCTCAGATGCAGCTACTTCAGCGTAAGATGCATTTGCTGACGAACCTGTGTAGACATCTTGCCTCTGCTGTTCCTTTGGGGGTCAGGGTGTGGAGAGAAGAAGTGATAGAAACAGCCACACAGGTCCCCGGGATATTTGTCTAGTGGCTGAGCTGAAAGCAAGGCATAATCACTTAAATGAGAATGTGGTTGATATATTAATCTTCGGGCTAAGTGAGCAGTGAGAGAAATCCCGGAACGAAACCATTAGGTTGAAAATAATGGGATCTGAGCAGAGACACCCTGGTGGGGAAGATAGTGGTGCACACCTGAGGGGGGAACAGTAGCTCCCGGGTGTGTTTTCATCAGGGCAGACTTCGAGTGAGTGGTTTGCCTGAGCACAGAGTGTGCTCTGTGAGCCGTGAGTCCTTCCCATAGCTTTAGGTCTCTGTACCCTAAATACTGGGAGAACCAGGTGAAGGCCTGTCACCACAGTGTTTCTGGCCATACTGTGTCTTAGGAGAGGCAAGCCTTTGAGACAGTGGCTCGTAGTTCTTAGCCCTTCTACTTCATGATCTGTTTTGGAAGGCAAAAGATTGGCCTTTATGCCTGGTGCCCAAAATGTTCTTGGGGCCTAGAATAATCCTCCATGACAACATTCTGGACCCTGTTCCCCAAACATTTTTTTTCTTAAACCCAGCCCCTTCCTGAATTTATATGTGAGGGATCAAGGAATTGGTGGAAAGGACCCGGGAGAAGAAATCCCACTGACACTAGAATGGGAGCTTTGTGAGGGCAGGGACTCTGCTTGGTTCCCCACTGTATCCCCGAGACCTGGAATAGTGAGTTCCTGCTGGGTAGGAGCTCAGGAGATCTTGTGGAATGAGCAGTAGCTTCACCCAGCAAAGAGGCCAAATACTTTCCCAGCTCTATTTTTCTGGGCAACACTGATGCTGTCCTTAGCATTTAAACTGTATAGTTCCCATCACCTCAACTCCAGAAAGACGAGATGCCCAACTGACTGGTGGATGGGAAGAGTCAGCGGGGCTGGGCACACAAAGCTAGGTGCCTCTGCTCACTCCAAGAGGGGCTACTGGTGTTGCTTCGGTTCCTTCTGAGATGCTGTGGGCCTAAGGTGAGAAGTGGCAAAACGCAATTGCAGAATAAAGTCCCTTGTTACCCCCATGCTGGGCGGATCCTGAGGAAGAACACTCTCTGCTGTTGGCGAGGTGGGCCCCGTCTCATGTGGCCACTAGTGGAGTGAATGACGAGTCACAGTGGAAGTGCGTGGGTTTTGTTGGAACAGGGCACAGTAAAGGAAAATCCCTTTTTAACAGCCCTCTGCTGGCTTTCTTCAGTTTCTTCCACTGCCTCTCTTACTAGTCCTCTAGCATAAAGTCCCCGTCTTTGTAATTGCTTGAGATATGGGGATGGAGGATATGCCAAGGAATTAGGTGGTAGCTACTCTTGAGATTCTAGTGGAGAGAGAACTGGAAAAAAAAGATGATTTTTCTAAACTAAACTGCATTTAGTACTTTCCTAATTCATGTACATGAGCTTACTCTATTATTTTTTCTATTCTTATGTTTTATCTTTTTCATCAAGTATGTTTTCTATTCCTACAACTTATACCTATGTCCTTCTAGGGCGAAGAATATAGTTTATTTGGTAGTTTTTCATGGTGCACTATTATTAACTGTTAACAGTAACAAAGCTCAGTACACAATAGATACTATAAAATATGTGGTGGCCCACTGAAAATCCTTGTCTTACTATCTGCCAGTGGAAACATCCACTTCACAGGGTCCAGAAAATGGGTTAAGGTTTCTGGGTGTGGTGGGGAGACCCCCTGCACCAGGTGACTCCCTTCTTACCAGCGACTGAAAACAGGGTTCTGACTGCGGCTTCAATGATCTCGAGTCGCTGATGGTAATGAGTCAGTCGGCTGCTTTTCCCCTTCTGGTGAAAGTACATCAGTGGGTACTTCACTGACCACCACAGTCCGACTATCAAGAAGAAGCTCCCTGGGAGAGCATGGCCCTTAAAGTTTGCCATCGGTGTTCTTCAGCACCTAAGAAAATAGGGGACAGTTGTCAGGTGGCTGAATGAAGAAAACATAAATGGATATTTTGGCAGGAAACACAACATGTGACTGAGGATTCCAAATCATAAGCCGTATGAAGAAGGACCCACTCTTTCTCAGGGGCGCTCACTCAGCAGACAAGACTTCAAGGACGTAACATGAAGGCTTATTTTATGAGAACGACTACTCCAACCCTGGCCGTCAGGACTTCCACCCCCTCTCACTGGCTACATGGGCTGCTTCACGTCTGATGCATGTACAGTTGAGCTTTCCACCCTTCCTCGAGAACTTCCACATGTTTTAAAAAACAAGTCAAATCGTATTTAAAAGGCTTCTACTGAAAAGCAGCAGTCACGTGTTCCATCCCTCCTCACCCACTAGTGAAACCACTTTAATCCCTTTCCACTGTTTCTTCTGGTATTTGCCGCCTGGATTCTCGTTAATTTGTGCAGGCGGCCATTTGCTCATTTATCTTTGTCAGGCATTATCTACCAGCTTCCTGGAGCTCTCCCTCCTCCTCAACCCTTCACGTTCACTGTAGTCACATGATGTTCATTTGCTTCAATCATTAGTTTCGTTATTATGGCTCTGTAGATCCAAAGTCCTCAGGGCCCATAAGCCCTAGCGATCCCAGCTATCTCTTTGACCTCTCCGACCTACCCCTCCAGCCCTGCCACACGGGGTCCCTTCCCTGGCCTTCCATTTCTAAGCACAGATCATTCCTGCTTCAGGGCTTGGGCTGTCTGTTATTTCCAGCAGCTTCCCGAACCAGAGCCAACAGGTCTCTTCTTCACTTTACTCAGGTTGCTGTTCAAATGTTACTCTAGTCCCGGACTACTTTGTGTGAAGTAGCAGGCATGTCCCCCTTTTCAATCCAGGTATATATTTTTTTTTAGGAATTCATTCATTGTATGTTTATAATTCACACCTGATCACTACCTACCAAATAGTATCCAGGTATACTTCTAAATTTTCTTTAAAGCATGGATCGCTATCTGATATTCCATATTGATTTTTTTTTAAGCATCCAGCTCTACCCACTGGAATGTAGTCCCTGAAAGTAGGGATTTGATCTGTTTTGTTTTTGTTTTTAAAGATTTTATTTTTTTATTCGACAGAGAGAGAGACACAGCGAGAGAGGGAACGCAAGCAGGGGGAGTGGGAGAGGGAGAAGCAGGCTTCCCGCAGAGCAGGGAGCCCGATGTGGGGCTCGATCCCAGGACCCTGGGATCATGACCTGAGTCGAAGGCAGACGATTAACAACTGAGCCACCCAGGCGCCCCTTGATCTGTTTTGTTATTGCAGTTAGCCCCGCACTTATAGTTGGGTGTGATAGAGTAAGCAATCAAATATTTGTGGAACAAATAACACGCTCATCCAAGTAGTATATTATGGGTTATGTTTTTACCATTTTTGTTTTTTTTTAGAGCTGTTTTAGTTTACAACAAAATTGAGAGTAAGGTAGGGAGATTTTTTTCACATACCCCTTGCCTGCACACATGCATAGTCTCCCCCATTATTGATACCACTCACCAGACTGGTGCTTTTTTTTTTTTTTTAAACCAAGGATGAAACCACATTGACACATCATAATCACCCCAAGTCCATAGTTTACCTTAGGGCCCATTTTTTTTTTTTTTTAAGATTTTTATTTATTTATTTGACAGAGACAGCGAGAGAGGGAACACAAGCAGGGGGAGCGGGAGAGGGAGAAGCAGGCCTCCCGCAAAGCAGGGAGCCCGATGCGGGGCTCAATCCCAGGACCCTGGGATCATGACCTGAGCCGAAGGCAGACGCTTAACAACTGAGCCACCCAGGTGCCCCCATTTTTTTTTTAAGATTTTATTTATTTGAGAGCAAGCATTGGGTGGGGGGGTGGGAAGGGAAGAGGGAGAGGGAAAAGCAGGTTCCCCGCTGAGCAGGGAGCCTAATGTGGGGCTCGATACCAGGACCCCAGGATCATGACCTGAGCTGAAGGCAGACGCTTAACCGACTGAGCCACCCAGGCGCCCCTAGGGGTCACTCTAGATGTGCATTCTATGGGTTTGGACAAAATTATAATGACATGTATCCATCATTATAAATACCACACAGTATTTTCACTGCCCTAAAAATTCTCTGCTCTGCCTGTTCATCTCTCCCCCTCCCCCACCCGACACCACCCCTTTTTACTGTCTCCATAGTTTTGCTTTTTCTAGAATGTCAAATGTTGAGATCATAAAGTGTGTAGCCTCCATCTCTCATTTAGTAATACACACTTTAGTTTCCTCTGTGTCTTTTCATGGCTTGATAGCTCATTTCTTTTTAGCACAGTATAGTTAGCATATGTGTTATATTAGTTTTAGGTGTACAATATAGTGATGCAACAAAAAAATATGGAACGCTTCACAAATTTGCATGTCATGCTTGTGCAGGAGCCATGCTAATCTTTTCTGTATCATTACAGTTTTAGTATCTGTGCTGGCAAAGTGAGCATTAAATAGTCTCACATTTTCCAGGAAATAGAGACAGATACATAGTCTTTTATATTTAATTACATGTTTACCATTTCTAGTGTTCTTCATTACTTCCTGTGCATTTGAATAATCCTCTAATCTCATTTACTTCCAACATGAAGGATGTCCTTTAATATTTCTTTTTTTTTTTTAAAGATTTATTTATTTGAGAGAGCGAGAAAGAGAGAGAGGACATGAGGGGGGGAGGGTCAGAGGGAGAAGCAGGCTCCTCGCCGAGCAGGGAGCCCGATGCGGGACTTGATCCCGGGACTCCAGGATCATGACCTGAGCCAAAGGCAGTCGCTCAACCAACTGAGCCACCCAGGCGCCTTGTCCTTTAATATTTCTTATAGAGCAGTTCTCTTACCAATGAATTCTTTCGGTTTTATTTATCTGGAAATATCTTTATTTCGTTTTCATTTTGAAGAATAGGTTGGATATAGAATTCTTAGTTGGCAGTTTTTCAACACTCTGATTATGTCATTCCATTGGCTTCTGGCTGATGAGAAATCAGCTATTAATCATACTGTTTTTCCCCAGTGAGTTACTTTTTTTTCTTGCTTTCAAGTTTTTCCTGTTATCTTTGGCTTTCAGCAGTGTGACTATGATATATCTTTTGTGGGTTCTTTTTGTGTTTTATTTTTTGATCGTGGCTGAGCTTCTTGGGTCTGTAATTTAATATTTTTCATCAGGGGATGAAAGGAAGTTTTCAGCCATAAATTCTTCAACTATTTTTTCTGACAACCCCCCCCCCCGCCCTCTCCCCACCCCCCATTTTCCCTGCTCATTCCCATGTTTAACCCAGAGCCAAGGATTTTCAACCCCCTCCCCCCCATCACCACCCTGGATTGCATCTGTTTCCTGTGGCAGCAAAACTACTTGTTTTCATAGCTAGCACCACATTACTTAAAAGTCATCGGCTGAGTGAGGGGATAATGGCAGTGGCCTCAGGCAGAAAGGCCATGGCCTCCAACTGTTTTACCTGAAGGTCTAGTAGCTTTTCAAAAATAAAAGCTTCTGTTGCGAGTTTAGCTGAACTACTCCATAATATTGCTGTCTCCTCCTCCATTTCGTATGGCCAACTGGCCTGCAGGGGCCTTGACCTGCTATGAGCTCCTCCTGCGGGCATACCCGAAAGAACAACTGCAGAGTCGTGAGTACGTGGAAGTTCCTGATACGACTTCCCCAACAGTCTCCCCCATCTCCCAGGGCCGTCCCCTTGTGCACCCCTTAAATAAGACCCCTGTGAAGCTGACCAAAACCTTGTTCTCTCTGGTTTGAACTGACCAATCCAGGCTTAGCCTGGGAATCCTAAGGGCTCCACTTGTGGACCCTCATAAAGGTATGTGTGCCAGGTCCTGTCACTCTCTCTACCTGCACTCTGCCTTCACCTCCCCAGGTGGCCCCTTGAGGCATGCCTTGTCCTTGTCCAGGACCTTTGAGAAATAAAATTCTCTTATTTCGATAATAGTCTTTTGTTGAACAGAAACTCACCATCAGACACCCCAGGACCCTACTTAACAAATGTTAATTTAACAAAGTCAGAACAGCCTCTTAATTTGTTGTCTGACTTTGGTCAATTTCCAGTTCCTGGAAATGGCTGGTTTTGACAATTTTGCTTAGTTTTATACATTTTTTGTTTTTTGCTTTTGCAGAAAGAAATTGCCCATCTGTTCATGCTGCCATAACCGAAGGCTCTCTCCTCATTCTTCTTAAACCCTATATTGATCAACATAAAAAAAAAAAGCCTCCATTTTCATTTAATGTCCTCCTATGGCCTCCCTCAGGCAGAAAGGCCATGGCCTCCAACTGTTTTTTTTTTTTTTTTTTAAGATTTTATTTTTTATTTATTTGCAAGAGAGAGAATGAGAGAGAGCATGAGAGGGAGGAGGGTCAGAGGGAGAAGCAGACTCCCTGCTGAGCGGGGAGCCCCTAGATGTGGGACTCGATCCCGGGACTCCAGGATCATGACCTGAGCCGAAGGCAGTTGCTTAACCGACTGAGCCACCCAGGCACCCGGCCTCAAACTGTTTTACCTGAAGGTCTAGTAGCTTTTCCAAAAATAAAAGGCCTAGGGGCGCCTGGGTGGCTCAGTCGTTAAGCATCTGCCTTCAGCTCAGGTCATGATCCCAGGGTCCTGGGATTGGGCCCTGCATTGGGCTCACTGCTCAGTGGGAAGCCTGCTTCTCCCTCTCCCACTCCCCCTGCTTGTGTTCCCTCTCTCGCTGTGTCTCTCTGTCAATAAATAAAATCTTCTAAAAACAAACAAAAAAACAAAAGTAAAAGGCCTGTTAAGGTCCCTTTCATGATCGAGCCAGTTATACTCCCTTGTTTTCTTAGCCAGAAGTGCAGGAAAAACAGCTTTGCAAATCTTTCCTGTCCTTCCCCATTTTTTGAGGAGCAATACCCTGAATAAAGGCAGAGTCCTTGTGTGTTCGTATCAATTTGTCAAGCCCCACTCTCCCCTTTTACCTGGTTTCAGATTGACATCAGTGAATGCAGTGCCTGCAGCATGTCTGTAGAAACCATTTCTAAATTTACTTAGGCTACTTGGAAGGCTGAGTACCTTGATTTGATGAGGGAGAGGAGCAGGGAGGTAGAGTTCTTCCAGTAACCAATTATTAGATTAGTTTATTTGATTAGCTACCTCATAGGACATGTGGTAGAAATATAGGATGGGTCAGTTTCAATTAGGAGGCACAAGGCAATAACCAACTTCAAGTAGAAAAATAAAAATGTAGTCTAATAATTTGGATAACACCATTCAAATAGGTTAAGTCTCTGACAAGTCTAGCTTTAAAAAAATGATTTAAAAATAAAAAGCAAATATTTAAGGGATAAGCTCTTTAGAATTAAACTATAAAATACTTCAGCGGTACCTGGGTGGTTCAGTCAGTTAAGCGTCCAACTCTTGATTTCAGCTCAGGTCTTTTTTTTTTTTTTTTAAAGTAGGCTCCGCAGGGCTTGAACTCACAACCCTGAGATGTAAAAAAAAGAAAAAAATCAATCTCAGGAAAACCCACAGAGAGGAAAACATCAGAAAGTGCTTCTGCAAAGACAAGCTTCCTTTCTTATTTTAATATGTTTGCTCTTTTTTGATATTGCATGAGATAGAGTGTGAAGAGAGGGCTGAATGTTTTGGAGAGGTGATAGCTTTAAGTTAAACCTGGCAGCTGAGAAGACTAGTGGTTTGGGCAACTTTTCATGTCCTGTCTAAGGAAATCACTGGAAAAGGAACATCATTTGCATAAGAGGTTTGACATGCTTTTCCTTGTCCTCTTTAACCATTCCCCCCTCTGCATTCTCTAATTTTAATTTGAGATAAGGAAGTGAAATGGAAGACAAGTTAAAGATGTCCAGAAGAGAAAAAGGAGGGAAGAGTTAAGGAAGAGTAGGAGACAGGGAAAGAAGACTGGAGAGTCACAGAAGTAGAGGGAGCGAGCAGAGGAGAAATTATGCTTGATGCAGTTTGCCTGTAGTTAAAAATAAAACTTGATATGGTGCCCTTTGTTTCTTAATAAAGCCCACATGTTCCCTTATTTTAGATGAAGAAAGTAGTGAAAGGATGTATTTAGATGAATGAGAATCAAAAATAAGGAAATCAAATTTTATTTTCTTCCTTGAGTGCCTGGGCTTAGCAGCCCGCACTCTCCAACATTAGAACTAAGGACTTGGCATTCATGGCAGGGGGAGGAGTGAAAGCCAATTTGTCCCAATTTGAGATGACAGGATACAAAACGTATAGATTACCAAATATCACAGAGAACCTGAACCTCTTAGTTCTAGCCATACATTTGACTTTAGTAAATAATGGTCTATCTTCACCATGGGATATTCTATAATCATTAAAAAGACTGAATTAGAGCTATACCAGCTGTCCTGGAAGGTTTTCCATGAGATAGTTGGCTGAGACAAGCAAGATGGAAAAGACTACTTACAATATGACCCCATTTTGAGCAATGGTAATGTCCTGCATATATGTACTACATATGTATACAGGTATATGATTATATGAACAGGGAAAGCAATATGGAAGAGTACTTTGAGGGTATGTAACACTATTCATTAGTTATTTCTGGCTCTCTGTCTTCCAGGCACATGGTACAACTGCAATTTCTGGCCCCCTTGTGGTTGGGTGGGGTCTTGTGAGTTGTGGGCAGAAGTGACGTGTTAGTTCTGGGCAGAAATATGTAATTGCCAGTTCAAGAACCCTCAGAACACATTTCCCTTTACCACATTACTATCACTGTTCATGACAGTAGCTCTTCCATGAGTCTCAATCCCAGAGTGAGGAAACCTGGAGCAGAGCCCCAAACAAGCCATGATGAACACATGGCATGGGAAAAATAAACAGTTGTAATGAGCCACTAAGCTTTGCGGGTTGTTTTTATCCAGTATAACCTAAATTTTATGAATCATACAGATATACCAGATCAACATGTTATGGGTAGGACACTCAGGCTTTTGTAGTTTCTTTAAAAAAAATATTGGAAAGCTTTACTATATCCAGGGAAGAAGTTGTGATGGCGTAAAGAATGGCAGAATTTGTACCAAAAAGGTGCCAAAGACAATTTTGGCAAATTGTATCTGGAATTGTCCGACTCCCCCCTTTTCTTTTTGATATCAGATAGACATATGTTTTCTCTTTTGAAATGGTGCCTGAGTTCTTCTACCCCCACCCTACTGCCCTGCCTTAAAAGACAGCACAATTAAAATTCAGGCAAACAGGGGTCTGTTTGTTACATTGTAAGGTTAACCTTTAGGTCCATTTCTCCAGTCCCCCAGTTCTCAACAGGGGGTGATGTGTCTGTAGATACTTTTGGTTGTTGTCACAACTGGGGGTGATGGTGGTGTTGCTCACATCCAGTGGGTAAAGACTGAAAGTGCTGCTAAGCATCTTGCAATGTGCAGGACACCCCCCACAACAGAGAATTCTGCAGCTCAAATCTCAATAATGCTGAGGCTGTGAGACCCTGCTCTATTCTAGGCCAGCTTCCTATCCTTTTTTTTTGAAGGAAACAGAGATCAGGCTGCCTTTATTTCTTTGTTCTTTATGTCACCACTTATTAGAGTGTTCTACCTTCAAAACTGTTTATGGGGCATAAACTCACTCCTAGAAATTTTCTCCCTTGCTTTCCATTTTGATATATGATTGATATATAATTCACATACCATTTCAATGAATTTTCAATTCAGTGGTTTTGAGTATATCCATGGAGTGGTACAATTAGTCACCATAGTCAATTTTAGAACATTTTCATACCCACAAAAAAATTCCCCTAACCCATTAGTGACTCCATTTTCCCAAGTCCCGCCTCCCTCCAAAGTCCTAGGGAACCACTAATGTACATTATATTTCTATTAATTTACGTATTCTGGACATTTTATATAAATTGAGTCATGCAACATGTCATTTGAGACTCGCTTTCATTTTTTAATTGTTTGTTTATTTGTTTAATTGCTACACCCAGTGTGGGGCTCAACTCACAACCCCAAGATCAAGAGTCACATGCTCCCCTGACTGAGCTAGGCAGGTGCCCCCAGACTGGCTTCTTCCCTTTTAACATCATGTTTTCAAGGTTCATTCATGTTGTGGCATGCATCACTACTTATTCTTTCTATGGCTGAATATTTCATTGTATGCATATACTGCATTTACTGGTTTGCTAAGGCTGCTGTAACAAACCACACTGGGTGATTTAAAAAACAGAATTTATTTTCTCATGGTTCTGGATGTTAGAAGTTTTAGATCAAGGTGTTGGCAGGGTTGGTTTCTTCTGAGGCCTTTGTCCTGGGCTTGAAGATGGCTGTCTTTTCCCTGTGTCTTTACATACATCTTCCCTCGGTGTGTGCCTGTGTCCTCTTCTTATAGGGCAACAGTTAGATTAGATTAGAGCCCTCCCTGATGACCTCGTTTTACTTAATTATCTCTTTAAAGACCATGTCTTCAAATACAGTCACCTTCTGAAGTACTGGAGGTGAGGACTTCAACAACATATGAACTGGGGGGGTGGGGAGCATAATTCAGGCTATAACACCACATTTTATCTGTTCATCACTTAATTGACTGTTCCATACACTTTTATAGATTTAATTACTAAATCACTACAAAAGACAACTCAGATGATCAAAGAAGACACTCTGAAGGTTTCAACAACCTAAGTATTCCTGGGACAGTTTCTCCTAATGAATCTCAAAATCACCCTCATATGGTTCTAGAAGTCTCAAGTGCTTTCTTGCTATTTCTCTCTCTTTTCAAATAACAGCCTTGTTGACATATAATTTATATACCATAAAATTCAGTCCTTTAAAGTGTATAATTCAGTGATTGCTGGTATCTTTACAGTTGTGCAGCCATTACCACCATCTGATTTTAGAACATTTTCATCATCCCCAAAGAAATCCCATACTCATTAGCAGTCATTCCCCATTTCTTCCCAATCCTTCCAACCCTGGCAACCACTAGCCTCCTATCTGTGTCCATGGGTTTGCCTATTTTAGATATTTCCTATAAGTGTAATCATATATCTCTGCCTCTTTCATTTAGTATGGTTTCAAGGTTCATCCAATCTTGTAGCATGTATCAGTGCTTCATTCCTTTTTATTGCTGTTGTTGCTTTTAGAGGGAGGGAGAGAGAGAAAGAGAGCACAAGCAGGGGGAGGGGCAGAGGGAGAGGGAGAGAAAGACTCCTTAAGCAGACTCCCTGCTGAGAAGGGAGCCCAACTTGGGGGGACTCTATCTCATGACCCTGAGATCATGACCTGAGCCGAAATCAAGAGTCGGATGCTTACCAACTGAGCCACCCAGGCACCCCCATTCCTTTTTATTGTTGAATAATATTCCATTGTACAGATCTGTCACATTTTGTTTATCCATACATCTGGTTTTTAAATTTTAATCTTTAAACATTTTTAAAAAGTAGTTTATTTATTTGACAGAGAGAGAGAGTGCAGAAGCAGGGGGAGTAGCAGAGGTAGAGGGAGAAGCAGGTTTCCGCTAAGCAGGGAGCCTGATGCAGGGCTTGATCCCAGGACCCTGGGATCATGACCTGAGCCCAAGGCAGATGCTTAACCGACTGAGCCACCCAGGTGCCCCTAATCTTTTAGATTTTTTTTTTAAGATTTTATTTATTTATTTGACAGAGACACAGCAAGAGAGGGAACACAAGCAGGGGGAGTGGGAGAGGGAGAAGCAGGCTTCCTGCTGAGCAGGGAGCCCGATGTAGGGCTTGAACCCAGGACCCTGGGATCATGACCTGAGCTGAAGGCAGACACTTAACGACTGAGCCACCCAGGCGCCCCTCTTTTAGATTTTTAATTGAAGTATAGTTGATATATAATATTCATTCATCTATGGATGGATATTTGGGTTGTTATGAATAATAATGCCATGAATATTGGTGTACATATTTTTATGTGTACCTATGTTTTCATTTCTCTTTGGCATATACCTAGGAGTGGAATTGTTTGATCATATGATAACTCTATGTTCAACATTTTGAGGAATGACCAGACTCTTTTCCAAAGTGGCTACACCATTTTCCAATCTCACCAGCAATGTAAGAGGGTTCCAATTTCTCCACATCCTCAACAACACTTGTTATGTTCATCTTTTTTATTTTAGCCATCTTAGTGGGTATGAAGTCTATCTCATTGTTTTGTTTCATTTTCTTCCCTAATGATTAGTGATGTGAAGCATCTTTTTATGAGCTTATTGGGCATTTGTATATCTTTTTTGGAGAAATACCTATTCAAATTCATTGCCCATTTTATTATTTTTTTATTTTTTAAAAAGATTTTATTTACTTATTTGACAGAGAGATAGCACAAGTAGGCAGAGAGGAAGGCAGAGGGAGAGGGAGAAGCAGACTCTCCACTGAGCAGGGAGCCCGATGCGGGGCTCAATCCCAGGACCCT